TTGCTTTAGCTGAGAAACAAATGAATGAGAGAAGATCCTAGAGCAAGGCGGTTGTAAAAGTATCCATGCTCTGTTGTGTTGTGGGAACTGAAGCCCTCGGGCTGCGAACACACACACACACACACACACTTCTTCCCCTGATCGCTTTACCACAGGTTAAGAGGGTTGGATTTAAACATGAAAAGCAGCGTCTGAGGTGTTCCTGTGTGTCATATAATCAATCAAACTCAAGTGTATTTACCTCACGGCTGGATGGAATTACAGACGCGTCAAAACTGCCCGCGCTTCACCTGAAATCAGAGAACACACGCCGTATCCGTGTTCACCACGCTCATCAGCAATGCTTATTTACCCTCTTCATTTGCACTCGACCCTTTTTTTTCCCAAATACAAGACTATTAAAGTTTGTAGTGACTGTGCAAATTTGATTGGGAAACAATTGTTCCTGTCACATCAAATCCACAACACAGTGATAATTGTGAACGATGCATCAGTGCATGTAGTCAGCTGATGTCTTATCTTTGCCATTATGATAGTATATAATATTTGACTATTTTCTAGATACTAGTATTCAGCTTAAAGTGACATTTAAAGGCTTAACTAGGGTAATTAGGCAATTTAGTGTAATTAAGCAAGTCATTAGCCCCTTTCACACATACAGAGCTTTCTTGCTTTTGCTCACTTGATTGACAGGTTGATCCCGCCCCCACTCCAGTAAACAGAAGTTTTTATGATTAAAGCTTATGAAGACGCATGAATTTACTGTACATCATTTGATTGATTGTGTGTGTGTGTGTGTCCTGCAGAAGTTTCCGGAGCTGAAGTTTAAGTATGTGGAGGAAGAGCAGCCTGAGGATTTCTTCATCCCGTACGTCTGGTCTCTGGTCTTCAACTCTGGAGTGGGTTTATACTGGAACTCTCAGGGAATTGAGCTCTTCAGCATGGACTCCAACTGATGGAGGTGTGTGTGGGGAAAGAGTGAGTGAGTGTGTGTGTTTGTGTGTGTGTGTGTGTGTGTGTGTGTGTGTGTGTGTGTGTGTGTGTGTGTGTGTGTGTGTGTGTGTGTGTGTGTGTGTGTTTGTGTGTGTTCGTGTCCGTGAGTTTGTGTGTGAATGTGCATGAGTGTGTGCGTACGTGAGTGCGAGCGTGTGGGTGTGTGTTTGAGTATGTTTGTGTGCAAGTGTTAGTATGAGCATGTAAGTGTGCGTTTGTCAGTGTGTGTGTGTGTGTGTGTGTGTGTGTGTGTGTGTGTGTGTGTGTGTAAGTGCATGTGTGTGTGTGGGTGAGTTTGTGTAAATGGGCGTGTGTGTGTGTGTGTGTGTGTGTGTGTGTGTGAGAGAATATTCATGTGTGTGTGTTTGTGTGTGAGGGAATGTGAACAAGTATGTGTGTTTGAGTGTGTAAGTATGCAGTGTGTGTGCATGAGTATGTGTGTTAATGTGCATGAGTGTGTAAGTATACCATTTTCTGCATGTGTGTGTGTGTGTGCATGAGTATGTGTGTTAATGTGCATGAGTGTGTAAGTATGTAATTTTGTGTGCGTGCGTGCATGCATGTGTGCGTGTGCGCGCTTAAGTATGTGTGTTTATGTGCATGAGTGTGTAAGCATACAATTTTCTGTGTGTGTGCGCGCATGAGTATGTGTGTTAATGTGCATGAGTGTGTAAGTAAGTTTACCTTTTACTGAGTGTGTGTGTGTTTGCATGTGTGTGTGAATGTGTATGTTTGTGCACAAGAGCGTGTGTTTGAATGTGTACAAGTGTGTGTGTGTGTGTGTGTGTGTGTGTGTGTGTGTGTGTGTGTGTGTGTGTGTGTGTGTGTGTGTGTGTGTGTGTGTGTGTTTCAGTGTTTGAGTATGTTTGTAAGTGTTAGTTTGAGTGTGTAAATGCATGTTTGTCTGAGTATGTGTGTGAGAGTATGTATGTGTGTGACTTTGTAAGTGTGTGTGTGTGCGTGTGCTTGCGTGTGTTTGTGTGAATGTGCTTGAGTGTTTGTGTTTGAGTATGTTTGTGTGTAAGTGCGCATTTTTCTGATTTTGTGTGTGCATGTGTGTGGGTGTGGGTATGTGTGTGGGTGTGTGTGTGTGTGGGTGGGTGTGCATGTGTGCTTGCATGAGTATTTGTGTTTTAATGCATAAGGGTATGTGTGTGTGTGTTATGTTTTAAGCGTTAGTATGAGTGTGTAAGTGCACGTTTGTGTGAGCGTGTGTGTGTGTGTTTGTGATTGAACGTGTGCGTGAGTATGTGGTTATGTGCATGAGTGTGTGAATGTGCCTGTGTGTGTTTGAGTATGTTTGTGTGCAAGTGTGTATGTGTGTGTGTGTGTGTCTGTAGGCATGTGCATGAATGTTTGTGCGTGAGTATGTGTGTGTGAATGCGTAAGAGAGAGAGTGTGTGTAGTTAAAGTGCCTCCGTGCATCACCTGCGAGCTCCTATTAAAGCCCTGATCTTCCGTCCTCTTTTAAAGGGCTGCTCGATAATCTCGGAGCCCCAGTGAATTGTGGGAATGCTCTGCTCAGGCTTGGTCTGTAGCTCAAACACTTCGCTGGATCCAGAGAATCATATCTTCCTTTATTCTTTCGCTTTCGATTCATAAATGGAGGAGAAATCAGCCAAAAGCAAACTGAACGTGAACACAAACACACCTCTGACCCTGTTAGGAATGATCTGATGAGCAGAAATCCGGCACAAATAAACACAGTGGACTTATTTTTGGGCTTGTTTTATACATAGGATGATTTGATATTTTAATTAATTTATTTATTAGCATTATATTTAGTTCGTTCAACCCATAGATACACACATCTGAGTGTCTGCACAAAGATAAAACATTTATATATGTGCCCACGTGGGAAATATATCACATGTAGTGGTTTTCTAAGCATATAAATATGCATAAGGAACACATATTTAGGTACTCGTGTAATAAATGAAGCGACTCTCCCATGTAAATGCAGTTGGTGTATATTACAGTGTCAGATAATTGCATGTACATTATTGTATAGACAAATACACACTGCCTTTGTTCAATTACTTTTGTTTTCCATATATTTATGCTCATTTTGTTTAGGTGCAGAGATGAAAACGCATTATTATTATTATTGATATATTTGCATATATGATTAGTGTAGGGTTAATATTAAGGTGATTATAATATTAAGGTATGCCATTGTTACTGATTATTTAAGGCACAGGTGTCAAACTCAGTTCCAAAAGGGCCGCAGCTCTGCACAGTTTAGTTCCAACCCTAATTAAACACACCTGATCAAACTAATTGAGTCCTTCAGGCTTGTTTGAAGCCTACAGGTAAGTGTGTTGGAGCAGGGTTGGAACTAAACTGTGCAGGGCTTCGGCCCTCCAGGAATTGAGTTTGACACCCCTGCTTTAAGGTCTTCTTTCGTCTCTGTTACACACATTTAAAAGATTAAGATCCTGTATTTATGTTTTGGTTTATTTTCCTAATTTTTATTTGAAGGTTTTGATCTCGGGTGATTTACATTTGCAGTCAATTTCATATTTAATATCTGGTGTATATGATTACTCCCGACATGTTTTGCATAGCATCTGTTTATTGTTATTTTTGTTTATTGTTTGAACATATTTAATATTAAAACTGATAGTTAAAATCACCATAAGAATATTGCGTTTTGATTTAATCGCGTATTTTGTTGGAAATCAATTGGTCGATTAGTTGAAGCGAATGAAACTGGAGCAGGATTCACGACTGATCCTCCTTCACCGAGCTGTTTTCTTTGTGTTAGTTAGGATTGTTTCAGTTTTTTTCTACAGTGTGAAATTCACTAATAAAAACAAACACCAAACAAAAAACTCTGTGATCATTGTAGATGTTCTTGTGGTTTTGTAAACACTTCACTGATTTAATAAATGTTGGGCTGCACGATTAATTAGGGGAAAAAACTAGATTCGACCATGCACACGATCTAAATTCAGCTTTTTCTATGATTCAGTCAAATATATTTTCATGGTCAGGAGAGAAGGGTAATGCCTAGTTCAGACTGCGTGATTTTAGCCCCGATAGGCTCGACGACAGGCTTTGAGAAATCGCCGACAAATGCCTGAAATCAGGCAAATCGCTGCTCGTGCACATGAGTGACAATCACACAGTATGAACTATCAAAAACGCGATCTGAGAGAATCACCGATGAGTCGCCAATGCCTGCGAGATATTTGGCGTGCTAAATATCTAAATATCTTCTTCCTATAGACCTTTTTCTTGGAACGCAAAATTACCCATTATGCTTTGCGTGTATGCGCAAGGAGAATGCGAAGAACTTCCGGTCGTCAGCTGATGCGTGTAAACAGTCACATTTGGACAGCTTTGAAACGATAGTTTTAATCTATTTTACCTGCTTTTACCCTCTTTGAACTAATACTGTTGTCCATCAGCAGCATCTCCTGGACTGATCATTTAAAGAAATGCGATCTAATAGGATGGAAAACAGCTGCTGTGAGGCGTTTTCCCCTCGTTGTCAGACGGCATCTTCTGCAGTTTAAATGAAGCCTCGTCATCGCTAAAGTCAACAGTTTCTCTTTATTTCAAATATATAACCAGCCCAAACTAATGTAGTTCACCAAAATGTTTGACACACACACGTAGCCTGTACTGTGCCACTGACACACTGATTTAATAACTGTGACAAAGTGAAAATATAGGCTAGTGTCATTTCAAAATGACAGAAAAACACAAACCTTGGTGAAAACAACACACGAAATGAAACACAAACGGCTCGCGATTAGAATGAACAGCAAATCAGCCAGGAGAGGATCAATAACAGACTTTTATTGCTCATTTTTGTAAATTGCACGACTTTCATACCTGTTAAGTTTCATGCCAGTACTCTGGTTTGCTCTCTCTCTCTCTCTCTCTCTCTCTCTCTCTCTCTCTCTCTCTCTCTCTCTCTCTCTCTCTCTCTCTCTCTCTCTCTCTCTCTCTCTCGCTCTCTCTCTCTCTCTCTCTCTCTCTCTCTCTCTCTCTCTCTCTCTGTGTGTGTGTGTTAAAGAGCCGCCGAGCTAACAGCTGACAGGCCGGGAACACGCTGTATTTCTGACGGCAGACACGTGAACTAGGACAGTGGTTCTCAAAGTGGGGGTCGGGACCCCCCAAGGGGTCGTGGGACAATGAAGGGGGGTCGCCTGGTGATTTCCAAAAATCTATTTATTTTTATTAAACCATAATAATTACCATATTTTATCCATAACCAACTGAAAAGAAAAAAATAGTCATTTATAGTCACTATATACTACTGTATATAGTTACTATAGTAGCTTATAGTTACTAGTTCTATTGGATTGCGATCGCTGGGGTAATTACATTATATTAAAGACACAGCAATAGCTTCTGATGCAGCAGATTGATCACCAGGTTAAGTTTTCTGGCTTATTTACAGCCCTAACATACATAAAAAAACATCTACGAAGTATAGACTTTGGTCTATTGGTGTGTGTGCGCCATTGCATGCAAAGTTTCTGTATTTATAACCACCTCAGAGGATATTGTGGGTCGCGAGCCACTGGCATTGTTATTTTAGGGGTCGCGGGCTGAAAAGTTTGGGAACCCCTGAACTAGGAGAAAGTTTTTCTCGTATTTGTGATGCGCTTGAACCCCATATGACAGATTATAACGGCTTTAACAGACACATTTCTCAGTTGTGTGTCACAAACACACTCTGTTATCCATTAAAAACATTATTGAAACCCATTTTCGGAGCGCAAACTACCAGTTGTACACCCTGTAAACGGAAGTTTTTAGCATTCTACTGGAAGACGCTGGTCGCTATGGCGCCCTCCATGCAGCAGCCATGAAAAAGGTCTATAGTAAAGTCATGCAATGTGAAAGTCCCTGTCGCCGATCCATCTTGCAGTGTAAACAAAGCAGCGACGAAACGCTAGCCCAGATAGTCAAGCAGTGTGAAAACATCTGTGACACGACTACTTTGAAAATCATGCAGTCTGAACTCGGTATAAAGGCGGTCGCACAAGTCTTCTCATTGATTTACATATGCTGCTCAGCAACATGGACGCCTCCAAATGGTGTTAAAATTGTCTTACTGTATTGATAAGGTATAATTCACACAAAAATGTCATTATTGTCTTAATGTAGTGACGTATTTGCTGCAGTGAAATCACTGAGCTGACGCACTGTTTGTTTACTACTACGAGGATGCATGCATGCCCGCCAATGATGTCTAACTTTAGTGAACAGGGGTCTGTTCTTCGTACCGCGCTTAAATGATCTAAGATTATTTGGTAGATCCTGGATCTTTTAATCTTGATAACTGATCTCTCGCTAATTTGGTTCTTCAAACAAGTTCGCGAATCAGATTAGAATGTCTGGATAAACTGATCTGAGATCGCTGCGTGTGTTGTGAAGGACAGATCTATCGATCCTCGAAATCGTGATCAGCAATGCAATGATTGGCTGACGGCACAGCAGCGTAATGACATCATCTGATTAATATTCAATTATCCATGTGAGCAAAATTACACCAAATTAGCAGTAAACTGTTTGTTAAATATGACACGCAATAATCTTCCACATTTGTTGTGAGCTGCAGGCTTTACACTTTCATGTGTCAAGAGTATTCATCATGTATTTCAATGCAAATCAATGTATTTAGTTCTTCATTTAGAAAAGATTTTCTTTATTATAGTAGCCGTTTTTTAATCGGTGTAAAGAATCACTGGTTGTTTACAAAAGCATTTTGATATTGGTAAAGGTGTCTGCAACTTTTGTGAAGCATCAAATCACTGGCATATTAACTATCAAAACATGTTTATGACTGTATAAATGTATTATTGCTTTAAAAAAAAAGTCACATATTCTGCATTTCTATTATACACAAATTGTACTAAAGTGATCTCAATAAGTTTTCTCTTTGCACCACCAGGTGGCAGTCTTTGTACTTTCATTTCGAGGGTGTAGATTGCATACGTTTTATTAATATGTATAACTTTATTTATTTTATTAATGACTATGACTTTAAATATATAGAGTTAAAAAATATGTACCATTTTCCCAAGTGTATATAACTACTACTGTAAGAAAATATCAGAATTAGGAACATACTTTCTGTATTATCTTTGCTTGAACTGAGCCGATCTAATCCTGTTTATATGAATTGAACCTGCTCCTGATCAGGTTTGACCTAGCAGAACTGTTGCCATGACAACAACTCTCGAATCAGCTTTAAAGAACGAAACGATCCTGGATCGTGTCAAATCGTCAATATCCAAATCCAGCTAACTGAGTAATCCACGTACGAAGAACGGACCCCAGAACATGCATAGGTTGTGAATAACAGGTAATAACGTCTGTTGCAAACTGAACTCAGTGACGGCACATGAGTGCACTCGGCATTGAAAGTCAAACCAAAAGCGCACACTAATGATCATATTGCATTTTAAAGTTATGATTATGGCAAGCATTTGATGTTTTTTTTTCTTAACGAACAGTGTTGTGACTGAGAATCAGTGTTTCACAGTGTCAGTACAGCTACTCTAGCTTATATAATGTTGAATATAATGCAGATGGAGTCTGATAATGACAAATGTTTGATTCAACCAGTGAAAAATGGTCATCAAAATACGCTTTTGTTTGTTGTGAATACACGCCCTCTAGTGGACAAAACTATGTACTGTAAGACGGATGACCAACCCTGTTCCTGGGGATCTACCTTCCTGCAGATTTCG